TATATTATCATTTATTATTGTTCCCTTAGATTCCGAGTGGAACATAGGGCTTCAACAACACACCTACAACTTGTTCTACTCTCTGCTGTCCCCTCCAGCTAACCCCATGATTGCCATAGTTTCTCATCTCCTCCCAACTCGATCTCCTCCATGTCACACCAACATCGATGACCCACTCGTCGTTTCCCATTCGTCGTCAACTCGAGGCGTGACCTGCGTTGTGTGCCGTGTCATTCGACGGTCTCCTCAGCGTGTATCCTACCCATCTCCACTTTCCCAGATATACTTGTTGAGTAATATTGTCTTGGTTGGTTTGTTCCGGGAGTCTGTTGTTTCTGATTGTTTCTGTTTGGCTGGTCATTTGATCTTCAGTATGGAGGTAGCGAAGGTAGATGTTGATAAAGATTTGTAGTTGGTTGCCGGAAATGCTTTTTTTTGACATGATGCGCAAGTTTCTCGTCCGTACTTATATATTTTCCTATAGTACTACTGTATCAAGATGAAACATTAGAGGGCCTGCATACGATTAATAATGAGGCTGGAATTAGGGTGGCATTTAGAACAACCAACTCTCTCAGTCCTAAAATATGCTGACCTAAGGACCATATAGACCCACTTAAATAAAATAGTTTATCAAATACTATGTAATGATTGTAAAGTCACCAGTAGAATGGGGTCAGTTAAATTATCAGAAAATATGAGTTTAGCTAAACCTGGAATGACTGCCCCTACTAAGTTAAATGACCTAGGAAAAGGCTCAGCCACTACACTGCATTCACTTTAATGCAATCACACAATAGGCGGAGACAGAGTAAAAGTATTATAAAGTAATACGTTTAGGTGGAGAGAGGTAAGTCACTGAATCTTTGTTTATCAGATCAACACCAAACACCTGCAGTCAAAGTGAAACAATGTCTATACCGGAGAAATGGACAACTGCATCAAACAACAAGAGGAAGATGAAGAAAATTTAAAACAAATTATGAAGCTATGTGAATACATTGATACGAATATTAGAAAATAAATAGTGATTGAAACGTCATCCAGTAATTATTATCACAGTGTTATATCAAATGAACTTACTGAATACAGAATTTCTAGCTTACTGATTATTAAATCAGTTTGCTTGAAATATTAATCGTGTATTTACGTAAAAGATTTCAGATATATTCTCCCGCAATAATATCAGATTGATATTAGTTTTCAGTGTTGGAATATGTAAATATTGATTGGATGGGTTTATTTGATTTAGCATACTGCAGTGTTTAGAATCGAACTTATTTTAATAGTTATATTGGCTGGCTGTATTAAGCATTTTGATTTTATTTTTCAATTTACTACGGCAATGAAACTTCCCACATATTTGGCATCATGATTACGCCCTTCCTGGTTGAACTTGCCTGATTTTAACTTGATAAACAAAAATTCTCTGACGGAACTCTCATTTCACCTAACAAAACTTCTTCTTATAACTGTCAGTATGTAATAGTAATATTAATAATAATAACTTTATTCCAAAAACAGTACTCATGATACAGCAAGGAATTTTCAGCATTCAGTACAATATTGCATCTAATTTACTCAAAAACGACAAAAAAAATTAAAAATACACATTACATAATAGTAATAAAACGATTGTTGTAGCAGCTACGTAGCAAAATACTGTGTGCCATACGGAGAAAAATATGTATAAAGTACAAAATTGTAGTAATAATAGTAATACCAACTAAAATAAAATAGCAGAGTAACGATTTAAACGATAGAAAGTGTGACACCATAAAATACAGAAAGATGAACGATAAAAGGGTCGATTCACTGTGCTAATTACATAGTAACTTGTAAGTTTCACGTCTAACAGAGTCTTCGTCACATAAAGTACGCGCTAAATAGGGTATTGTAGAATTTCTATACTTAGTAGTACGAGCATATATCTTTTTATATTGACTTCTCGTCCTACCTGATGAGATACAAGGGGACAGGTGTGAATAAAGGGGGTGCAGAGGGTCTGACATTATAGCCTTTGCCCATTTCGTACAGGAATTTATATGCCTCTCGACTATAGTATTAGCGAGCTCATGCAGTGGCAGACCACAAGCTCTACTCACAGCATTTAATACTCTTCGTAATATGATATAATCTTTTTTGAGAAGCCCAGGAAAGATTAATGGAGAGCAGTAGAGTACAATAGGTAAAATACAGGAGTTTAAAAATTGCAAAACTAAAGGTTGGTTGATACCTGATTGTCTTAACTTTTTAATGTAGAAGGTAAGACGAAACATTTTCTTAGAGATAGATAAGATATGGGATGACCATGAAAGGTCAGAGGAAAAAACTAATCCAAGGTATTTAATGCTTGATTTGGTTTCAATTTCCGTGCCATCTATGCTACAGGGATCATGCGAGTTAACTAGTTCAAGTAAGTCACGTCGATGCTTGAAAGTAAAGTCAAGCACCTGACATTTGGAAGGATTTAATATAAGACCATTTGACTTGGACCAGTTGTTGATGTCCAACAGAAAGCTATTAAGTTTGGAGCTGTCAGACTCGGAAGTGATAGGCAGTGATACAGTCAGATCATCTGCATATTTGACAAAGTTAGTTTCGTTTGAATGAGGTAGGTCATGTAGGAAGAAAGAAAAAAGAAAAGGAGAGAGGACAGCACCTTGTGGAACACCGGATTTTGTAAGCGAGGTAGAAGAAGATTTGCCGTTATATACAGTATACTGCATTCTATCAGAAAAATAGGAATGCAACCAACTCTTAGCCCAGGATCCTGTTTGTGTCAACGATAGCTTATTTAACAAAAGGCCCCTAGGTACAGAGTCAAAAGCAGATGTGTAGTCTAAGAAAGCACTACGAACATATTTAGCACCTTTGTCTAAACAAGAGACAACATTGTGATATAAGACAACCGCAGCATCCAAGGTACTTCTACCATGTTTGTATGCAAATTGTTTAGGATCATTAAAAGGTTTCAAAGCGGGTTCAAGACGAAGTAAAAGTAATTTTTCCATCAATTTTAAAAAGGGGGAAGTAATTGCAATAGGCCGAAATTTAATATCAGAACCAGAAGATGGTTTTGGTATAGGGATAATTTTAATGTTTTTCCATGCAAAAGGTAGAACGTTACCGGAAAAAGAGGCATTAAAAATGTTAGTAAGAGGATAACACAAAATATCAGCACAATTCCTGAGGACAATGGCAGGTATGCCGTCAGGACCAAGGCTTTGAGAAGGCTTAAGAGACCGGAGACATTTAAGCACATCAAGGGTATTAAAACCACTAAAGTTATTGTCAATATGATTTGTATCATTTGGAAGGGTATCAACAGAAGAGCGTATGAAAGATTTATTAAGAGTGTCAACATTAAGAGATGGAACAGAAATACATCGCTTACCGTTAGTAATTTCTTTGAAAAGTTTCCATAAATTAGAAGGGGTTTTACATGACAAAAATCTTTGATTATATAAAACATTTAGTCTTTTTATTTCCAGTTTTATCAGCATGTTTAACTTTTTTACACCAGGCTTATCATTAGTTTTGAACAACAGTTCTTTATTTCTACGTAGCTTTTTGAGATATGGCGAAGATAAGCGATCAAATCGAATGAATAATGTTTCTTTAGGACAACATATTTCGAAACAGAATTTAAGATAATCGGTAGTGTTTGTGATTGTTTCATCTAATGTTTGTTCTGTAAATAAGTCCCAGTTAGTGTCTTTCAACATGCATCTGAGCTTGTCTAGGTTGTCTTTTGAGTAGCATCTCCGTTGAACTTTACTGTAGAGGTGAGAGAGGACACCTTTGTGTGATTTGGAATATATTTTAGGCAGTACACGTATGATGCAGTGGTCAGAATTAAGTAGAGGAGCACGTTTGCGAGCTTCATATATACCAACATCATTGATGAATACTAGATCCAGTTTTTTACCAAGACGGGTGGCAAAGTTAACAATATTGTCATGACCAAGTGATATAAGGAAGGAGCAATCGCTTCCATTGAAGTCGCCAGTTACTATTGATAAAGAGTTCTCGAAACAAGCTGCAGCAAAAGCGGTGAATTCATCGGCGAACATAGATAAATCCAATATGGTACAGCCAGGAGAGACATAAACATTAGAAATATAAATGAATTTGTATTTTGACAGGTGTTTCGGGCGACATCTCACAGTGATGCAATCAATGAAGTCATTCGAGAATTTGAAACAAACTTTGTTTGAAATGGACCATTTTGAGTGAATAAAAGTTGCAACACCTCCACCACATTTTTTCTTGGAACAAACACGGTCTTGTCGAAAAACATTGAAATTGTTTAGAGACACAATATTGTCATCGTATGAGTCATGGAGCCAGGTTTCTTGTAGAGTGACAATACCAGTATTGTGGTAGGTACTAGAAGACAACAGAGACTGAAAATCCAGAATTTTATTAGGCAGGGACCGGCAGTTGGTACTAATGATAACTGGAACAGTGGTGTGATGTATGGGTGTAGATTTTAAGGCACGCTGCCAACCTCCATGGTGCTTTTTCTTGAGTTTATTGCAAATATGAATGTTATGTCACACACTTTTTGGAAGTGCGTTAGTTAATGCATACCAGTGACTGAGTATTCTTCTAATTATTTGTATTAGCACAACACAGTGAAAATGGTCAAATCGAACTGAAACAACTGAGTACTTTGATATGAACAATTAATTCTGCTAGAAACTCCAGGCAATTAGTTAGTTAGTTAGTTACGTCACATAAACTCGTTTTAGTTAAACTGTATTCACTTCTTTTGACGTCAGCCTTTTTCCAGGTAGTTTAATAGTGAGATGCTGATTGATTCTCAGGTGTACATCTACAATGGTCATCTAGTCATTATTAGATGAAATAAGGCGTAAAAATGTAAGACTGAAAAAGCCCAGTTCAATTTTTTGGGTAGTGAATGGAATACTTTTCATAAATATACACCATTATAATAGAAAGACATCATCAATTTTCATTTACTATTCACTTACTTTTGGTTTTGGTGGACAGCAACATATGAGGAATGGAAAGCGTTTTTCAATCTCTAAACGGAATTTAGGGTGTTTAACTGCATACACGATAGGATTGTATACAGCTGACGTCTTTGCAAATAAAACAGGCAGTTCAGAATAGATTGGAGTTAAAGATTCTCTGCTTCCAACTAACGTCATTAAACAAACGATTGCATATGGTGACCACGACATGAGGTAGAGAAGAACAAGGATGATTGATGTTTTGGCTGCTTCAATGTCGGCCTTTTTATCACCTAATCAAGAAAACACAAGGATGACGATAAAATCCGTGTAATGCCTTTGACCAAAAACTTATTTTTAGTCTATAAAAACTCATGATTGTTAACATGGGAGACTAACTGATAACTAACTATTCTCAAAGCATCTTCTGCAAAGAGAAACGATGGTACTACGCATTATATCAGAAGCGAAGTTACACTATAATAGTTAATTTCTGATAATGCATACAACTACTTTAAATGTAATGTCAGTAACTAAAAGTCTAGCATTCTTATATTCATTGGTTTGTTACAAGTGGGCCAGAGATACATTTAGTAAGTACCAACGATAAGTCTGCAAAATTTGTCATAAATCTATATTAATGGAATAATCCATATAATTATGATTCCATAACGATTTAACAGAAACCTGTTTCCAGATAAAACCACAACTCTCTAGTGCGTCACTATTTTAAACAACATGACATTAAATTGTAGAGATGGAAAATAAGCCTAAATATGTGATAAACAGTCAGTAGTTGCTTCCTTTGTTTAAATCAAGGGGTTCGCCTATTTTACTTTTGAATAAAGAGTACGACATCGCATTGTAACCTGAAGGTCCTGTGTTTTCAAAATCCGGTAGGTGCGCACTGGTCAAGAGTCATAAACTACCACTGCGTGGTCTCCCACTGGCTTTCTAACTGAACTCAGGTAGTTAACAAAAATGTAGTCAATAGAATCCTTGCAAACTGACACTTGAAAATACCTTTTCGCACTAAACTACCAACCGGAATTTACTTCCTCTCAACAATTTGCAAGTCTTGAAAAGCAAATAAAGACAACTGACATCTGCTAGTTAGGTGTATGTCCACATGTACTCAACACTCTGTAGTTCGAAAATAAGGATATCATGAAGCGAATTATTTGATCGATTTTGTCCAAGTAAGCTAAGTAAGGTCATATTTTTAACTTGGACAAAACAAAAAGAATATATTGGGCAGGATTAAATGACATCGTTATATTTCGTCTGTTCTTGTCAGCTGCATACAACAACCATGAACAATCTAATATCAATATACAGAGCATTTAAATACATTAGTTATTGATCATAAAGTTGAGGGTTATTAATATCACATGGTTAAGTATTATAATGGAAAGGATTGAAAGCCTTTGTAAAGCTCGTTAGTGTGTATAGAAATAATTAAGAAATATTCTAGAGTTACGAATGAATGTTACAGATTGAACAGAGGTGTAAAATCAACACACTTATGTAAGGGTCAAGTAATTTAGTTGAACACGGGTCAAAAAGGTCCTGATCAAGAATATAGATAAATACAAAATTAGGGTAGGAAATCACACTGTCAAAAGAAAATATAATTGGAATAACAAAATTAACACAAAAAGGACAATTCAACTACAAAAAGTATATTGACCACAGTAAAGTAAGATCAATGGCGGTTTCTTTATGGATGCATTCATTCGTAACTCTAGAATATTTCTTAATTATTTCTATACACACTAACGAGCTTAACAAAGGCTTTCAATCCTTTCCATTATAATACTTAACCATGTGATATTAATAACCCTCAACTTTATGATCAATAACTAATGTATTTAAATGCTCTGTATATTGATATTAGATTGTTCATGGTTGTTGTATGCAGCTGACAAGAACAGACGAAATATAACGATGTCATTTAATCCTGCCCAATATATTCTTTTTGTTTTGTCCAAGTTAAAAATATGACCTTACTTAGCTTACTTGGACAAAATCGATCAAATAATTCGCTTCATGATATCCTTATTTTCGAACTACAGAGTGTTGAGTACATGTGGACATACACCTAACTAGCAGATGTCAGTTGTCTTTATTTGCTTTTCAAGACTTGCAAATTGTTGAGAGGAAGTAAATTCCGGTTGGTAGTTTAGTGTGGAAAAGTCATTTTATCTTGCTCAATATGTTCTTTTTGCTTTATCCTTGGTTGTCAAAAAGAATAACTTTGTGAAATTCATACTGTCTAGATTGGATGGATGAATATCATAATGGTTTTAGTACCATAAGTCATTGGTTTTTAAATGCTACTTCTCGATATATCAACATTCTATAGATCTGTTATAATTACTATCACTCTGTAATAGGTTACTCATGATGCATTCAAATAACGGCGTTTGTTACTGGAAAATATGTGTAGATAGTTGTGTCTGTAAAGTAAATCGACATTTTGGTGTTTATGCATACATTGAATTTCCTTTAAATTCCCTTTAGATAAGCAGTACAAAGTTTTATAATCCTGTAGTAAAAAATACTTTGTTTAATTTATTTAAAGAGAAAGAAATCATTCATAGGCATTTCTAAATGAGTTAACTTATTCCGATTAAATAACTCCTTGGTCCAAAAACGTGAGCAGAAAAACTTCCGATTCGCCTACTACTGCGAACAATTAGCTGTATGTGGGTATAATGACCAAAGACTAGGATGATTATCTTTAATTTCATGGGAGCTGCTTTGCAGACGAGAGTAAAACCTTACTGAAATCATTCTGTCAGCTTAATTTCTATCCAGCACAGAAGATTGAAATTTATTATCATTTCCTATTTAGAGAAAAAAGTGATAAAGGTCAAATGGTGACACTTTTTAGCACTTCAATCAGTGTAAGCTATAAGCTGATAATAAGCATGACCGTGAAGCTTTAAAATGAAATGAATTTAATGCCAGTAAAACGACTTTTATTGTTCACTAGTAATACATGCAGACCTGTCTCTATTAAATGTTGGCCAAATCTTTATATTCAAGGTTGTGCAAATTTTAAACGAAATGTACTTAGTGATATTAGGTGATAAATTCTAACAACAGTATCTTTGAAAACGTCAAACATTTGTAAAATTCTGAAATAAAATCTATCAGTGATAATTTTAGGTAGGTAATAGTATGCAAGGCGCTGAAATTACTAAAATCTAAAGGCATCAACAAACTTGCCTGTTTTCATCGCGGTAGGATTTTGTGAATTCAATGACTGGGCCATTTTCATTAATTCCAGTTCATTGCGTCTGACAGTCTTAACAATTTGATAATAACTGAAGAAAATTATGAGTACAGGAAGCATAAATCCTAGAATGTACATTCCAGCGTTGAACAAAAGATTTGGCAGATCGGTTGAAAGATAATCAAATGTGCAAGATGTATGAAAGCCTTCTGGTATATAATGTCCTACATTAATAAAAATTTAATTTCGTTGAGCTAACCAGTTTGAAGGTAAAATATTTTTAAAATACAGAGAAGTATTTCTAAATTAATAAGTGAAAACTTTTTATTACTGGAGCATATACGTGTCTTTTTAGCTAGAGACTGATGTTCTGTTTTACTATTCTATCCCCTAACAGGGAAACATATTTCACCACAATTGAGAATAGTTTTTAGTTCCATTTCAGAATTAAAAACTTTAGGATGTTTACGCCACAGAGTGTCCATATTTGTTTAGAAGAAATTAGATTTCCTCTGTGTACTCATTTTTCTGTTACTGGTCAATAAAAAACCTTCTGGTTAAGCGGGCAAAATTACTATCGTAATTTATTTGTATTATGGAGAAAATAGTGTTTGTAGTGCTAACGATTGCTATCCTGAATAAATAATAAACACACCCTCCAATATGATAGTAATGCCTTTAATGTATACAAATTAACTGCAATTCACATTCCTTTCTAATTTAATCAAAGTGATTTACCTGTAAAAAGATAAATGGAAATAAGTAGAAAGTAAGCAGGAGAAAAAGACAACAATTCATCCTTCATGTTAAGAAATCATACATGGAATGTGAACACAAATTTATCCTGAGTTACATTTTAGAGTGAGTATACATAATCCGAAGAATAACAGGTCTTTTTGACTAGTAGCAGATTTGATATTCTGTTGTATTTGTTTTAGTTGGACTGTCTTCAAGCTGTGTCATTCATGAGTGCACTGCAATGGTAATGCGTCGGTGGCACAGCGGTTAGGATGCTCGCCTACCATGCACACGGTATGGGGTGCAATCCCTGGCCGACGTAATCCGACACCTCGCTAAGCCAGTAATAGAAGTGGCAAAGACAGAAGGTTGAGCATGAGACTAACAACCCCATCCCGTAAAAGTAAACACCACTGCTACCGAAACTTCATGCCTCTAGCTTGAATCCCAATGTTCCACTGGGAACGTGAAGGAATGAAAAAACGGTTGATTTTATTGATCGGTATTAACCTTGGAATTTTTCCGCCAAAAACATTAGGGTAGTACACATGTATTTTTAAATGAGGAAGAAAGATTTAGGTTTATTAATCATTGGCTTTTCTACAGAAAAATTGTGAGCCGAAGCTGGAGATACATGAGATCTGTACTGAATACAAGGTTGGTTATTTTAATGGCGTATTAAATTATTTCTTTCTGCGCTTAGACTTAAAAGTCGTTAATTAGCAAAAAGTTATAATTAGTGCAAAATGTGGACATAAAATCTACATTCGAAAGGAAAACAAATTTGTGGTTAACTTGAAAATCTAGAAGCGCACATTTATTTCTGCTAAGGTGAACTGATATCATAATTAAACACGAAACAATTTGTATTTCAATGGGGGAGGGGGGAATGAGCGGAAGTCTAGCAGCTAATACCTCATGAGATATTATACTTATAATTACTGTAAACTTAAATTAAATTCTGGATCCTGCGAAAATTGTTTGATTTTGAATCACAATGATTCCAATGATTGCAGTGCATGCCAGCTTAATAAGTATTCACAGTATGCATACGGGCTTGAAGGTGCAGAAGGATTGATGAAGTTGCCACTTGTACATATTCCACACTACAGTTAAAGGTCTTATGCCATGTTTAAACGAATGTAAGCCACTTTATAATATATATATATATTTCTGAAGTCAGAAGCATGAAGCGGCAAACTCACCGAAACCGAAGAACGGTGGGACTGACCAAAGTGCTGACCATATCCATGTAATCACAATCATGACTGTAACTTTACCGTAAGTAATTCTGGAGAATGCTTCAAAAGGCTGTGCAATCACCAAATATCTGTCCAAAGCAATAAAAACCATAGTTGTGAGCGAAACAAATCCAAACAATGCACCAGCAAATCCGTATAGTTCGCAGGCTGAATAAAAAGATGTAAAAGAATGCAATAAATTTAGGCACTCTGTAATGTTTGTAAACAAAAAAAGCGAAGTTCGAGAAAATTTCAATTTTTTCTACTTTATATATGAAAGGAAACATTTTGCATATTTTCACTATTAGATATTTCCTTAAACAGTATAAGAATTCTGAAATTCATTGAATAACCTGCTGATGTCCAATACCATAAGACTCAAAGGTACAATGAACTTATGCTACCACCATTGTAGTTAGGTGACTCTGATTATCTGATTTCCCTTGATATTATATTATTTTACTGTGAAAAATAATGTATTATAACTAGTTAACAATATTACAACTGATTTGTAAAATGAGTACTACATTGCTGAGGTGAAAAATAAGGCTACTTATCTCTGTCTTCCACTCGGTGAAGAAGGAACACATATAATAAGTGAAGTAGAAATAGGTTTTCATTAACGTTTAAAATGTGTTGTTCATACATTAAACCTTTACTTTTAATAATCTGGAGACCATATATAAGTCTTTACTCAGGGAAGTAATACTTTGAAAGGTGTAAATGGTATACAAAAAGAGGTCACTAAGGCATAACATTCTCTATGTTTTACTTATAAAGAGAAGTAATACTATCAGGAAAAATGAATCTAATGAATGTATGTTCAAATTTTCGAGGGCAGCGATGATTTCACGTCATGAACTAGATAATCCATCAAAATAACATAAAACTCAGATGACTGGAGTGATATTCACTGGTTAAAGACTTCAAATGATAAAAATGAAGACAAGGCAAAAAAGTGCTAATGATATGCATAAACATAAAAGTCTGCGGAAAACAACTTCAGATACGTAATGAAACAGTATTGTTTGTAATGGAATTTGTGACAGCCAACAGGCGGACTAAATGAAATGTCTGCTGACATAAATTAGTCACATTCTGTGTAAAAGCTCAAAATCTATTTGATGTGAAGGGGTAATGAATTAATGAAAATTATTGATTTATCGTCAGTTGGTGTTCATTGTTCAAGGAAATTATTGATACATAAAAATTTAGACCGTTATACCCTTCAAAGGACATCAGTAATATGAAACGAGAGGCCCAATAAGAGCATTGATAAAAGAATTGTAAAACTTCAAATGTTTTCCCGTTAACTGAGGAACTAAAGTAAAAGTCAGGACCTCAATGATTTCAAGGGGATTGAGGAGAAGAAACCAACTCTGTAGTATATGCTGTCAGTAATAACCTCAGACCTACTGGTAACGTTATCTGCAGTGACATAGGTTAAGAAATTCTCCACAGTTCAGTGGAACATGGTAGATTTTAGGAGGAAATCTAGTGACAACTAACTGCTTTTATTCGTGTTTGATGTTATAAACTAATTTAATGAGCATGAATTCTTTAAACCCTTTAACTACTGGGATCTCGACAAACTACCTATTGTTGAAACTTGCATTTGCATTAGGTGTATGATTAACTTTACTTTGTACCTCTAGTTTACCTATGATTTATCAGGATCTTACGTGTGTAACTGTCAGTTGCTTGAGTTCATTCATATTCTGTACCTTGTATCATTTAGGTTAATCATGCTGTACTTATTTCTCAACTAAATTAAAGTTTGGAGTCTTCTCACCTGCCTAATTAGTCTATACCTTAGTCAGAATACGAGTATTGACGATAAGCTAATGACAACACGGTGAAGACTTTTAACTAACTGGAAACTAACATCAAGAATTATGCTATTAACCGATGTAAAGCAAGAGGGATTATAGTGCGTGTTAGGATGTTTATGTGTTAAAGCAGAATAAAACTACTGACTGTAATGTGAAAACTTGCATGTACAGCTTCGTTTTTCAATGCATATATGAGAACTTTCAGCTACTTTTCCGATTTTCAATAGTCTGTTTTTTCCACACTATTATTTGATCAGGTGATTCACGAAAACAATTAAATTAGGTAGAGACATCAAGATTTAGTATGCGTAAAAATGTCAGATAAATCTTCCGACTAAGCAATGCCATTACTTGACTATCTGCATCGTGATGCAATACTTAAATATACAACTAAATTATTCGCATTAAATTATCAAATGAGACATGCACAAATTGACAGTGCCGAAATAAATATTTAAATTCGCAGTAAGAACTATTCCACAACAAATAAAAATAGGAATAAAGGAAATAATTAAAGCTGATAAAGTAGAAGATGATCAAGAATAAAGTGAGAGTAGTTGTTATAACAGTAGATTAGTCCAACGAACTGAGTGACACAGGAAGTAACACGAGAAACATGGTTCAGCAGTTCTAGTCATGACAATGGTGGTTTATGCAGCTTAATATTAAAGCAGATGCCTTTAACACTGAGTAGCATAAGTCAACAACTGGACAGACGACGATTCTTCTTAGTATTGAGGGTACAATCCACCGATGAATGCCCATAAGGATGAAATCTATTTACACATTTCGAAGTTGACTTTCTTCTTGCGTATCATGAAGCGTTACACCAATAGACTGAAGCTCTAAAGAAGTTTTCGAATTCCGTATATTCCCATTCTTTGTGTAGGCAGCGTGCCTTAAACTAATTGCAAAAAGTAACCTTATTAAAATAATCATACTGATACAAACTAGGAAAAGAAACACTTTTATCAGTTAAGGGGGCAAATTTAGCATAAAATTTAAATAAAACTCGACAAGATGTAATTAGTAAACACACTTCTCATGCTTATATAACCTTTTGTGACTAATAATGACTACTTTCCTCCTGTTTACTAAGTAACTTAGGTAGTTCAACCATTCAGTGGCTATTAACTTATCATTGAAGTCAATTTAGTTACTTATATATTTGTTGGAATAAAAATTTTCAAATATGACTGACCTGGGAACACCGATCAGATGGAGGGTGTTTTGTAAAATAGATTTCTAATTTTTTCAGATTTTATTCCTTCACGTTCCTAGTGGAATATAGGACTTCAAGTCAGAGGTTTGAATTTTCGGTAGAAGCGGTGTTTATTTTTACGGAGTGGCGTTGCTATCCTCATGCGCAACTTTCCCTCTTTACTAGTCTTACTATCAGTTTAGCTAGGTAAAGGAGTGCGTCAGCCGTGGATCAAACCCTGAACCACATGTGTGGTTAGCGAGCATTCTCATCAACTGTAGTACAATAGAAGTATGATGTATTGATTCTTTTAAACATTAACAATACTAAAAAATAAATTGGTACAAGTGGTATGGAACCAAATAATGCTCCTTCAATTTTTTTGAAAATTTAAATTAAAATACCAAGAAGGATACTATATATATATATATAGAGAGAGAGAGAGAGACTGCAGTGGGTAACAAAAACCAGGGCTGCTTACCTAGTTTTCCCCAACCCCAGCGCTGATTAAATGCAGCGATTGTTTTTAGTGGAAAGCCATTGATTAGTGCAAAGGAGAAATCCGAGATGGCTAAATTAACTATGAGGATGTTTGGTGGTGTCCGGAGCTGTTTGCATCTACAAAATAAGAAACAAACGATTGTAGGAAAAATAAAATTGCAGCGACGTAGTCAGTAAGTAGACTATGCATTCGTGAATACACAACAAACAGGTGAGTAAGTTCCAGAGCAATTTCCAGTAGAAAGTAAAATTATAATAAATAACAAGATGATAATTATGTTATAACATGGTTAAAAAAAGGTAATAAGAAAGAAAATAAACGGGAAGTGTGGATAAGGAATATATTCGGGTGATAATTATTTAGAAGTTTGACTGTTTTATTACCGTCATATTAAAACAAAGAGTGGGAGTACTTCTTGTGGATAAATAGCAATGGTTTGGATTTCTCTATCGCTAATGCTTCATCTATGCTCAGATGTCCTGATGTCATTCCCTCTGAGAGGTTTGATTGGGCCTTGTACGGGACTTTGAACGATATTTCAAGTGAAGCTGAGTGTCGAGAGTTCATCACATGCTTTGTTACCAAGCTATAAACGTACATATGTTCCGTCTTTGTACCTAGCTCTACAAGAGGCAGTAGACTAAAATACAAATATATATATATATATATATACTGATGTAACCCAATGTAACAGCTTGTCGTTCACTTGTTGGCCGAATACTTCTTTGTAAGAAAATATACTTGTAGAATAACAACAAATCCTTTTTTAGTGAAAGATTCATTTCCTCAGAGTTTCTGTCTGAGCACCACTTTTAAATTTGAAATTCAAAGGTACAAAACGTTTTGAAAGTGACCCGGACCTATCCAGGAGCTTTCAGGTGCTTATCTTCGAAGCTGTGTGGTAAAACATTTTCCACGAGGATTCTTTGGAAGTGTTTCAACTCTATGTCAATAGATTCCTCGAAGCACGTTTTTATTATCCATGAGGAAATAGAGATCCCTATTTCTTGCTTAGAGGGAGAGAGTTTTGACAATTAAAAAACCGTCCGTTTCAGGTAGACGTTTTATAGATAGATTTTTTCAGTAAGTTATCAAAATATTTTGGTAGTTCAACGTTGGAAAGATGGGTTATCGAGTCAGACTCAAATTCCACATTGAAGTAGATATTCAGGTGTTATAATAATTAGAGACACACTATACATATATATATAAATAAGATGTCAGTCAGTGATTTAAAAATAACTGTCAGCTTACAAGATAAATAGTGTTATGACCAAGCTGTTCCCCAGTACAGCTAAAATTCCAACTATTCCAATATAAATCCCAACTAGATAGTTATATAATGGATCAGGTGGTGTAAATTGATGCCAGTGTGGATGAACAATTGACATGAAATCATCGTCATCTGGCCAAAGGTTTGCAAACGTAAAGTTTTGTTTCGTGCTAATCATCACATGTGAATCTTGCTTTCAAATCTTATGTTTAAAAAATAAACAAAATCGGTATAGGTAAATAAATATATACAATATATTGAAAACTTAACAAATTTTAAAAAATTTACATTTTCTTTATTATTGACAGAACCCACCCAACTAACCCCGTAGTTGTTTGTTTATCAGGAATAAGAAACTGAAATAAAGTAGCCAACATACTTCCAGAAGTTATTACTTTTACAGTTGCATGCTAGGGAAACAAATTAAGATGATGTGTAATAAGTGCATGAGGTAAGTGTTTATTCTCACAACTCACAGAAAGAAAATTCCCAATGACAGCTTTCTTTTTTGTATTCAACAGGTAAAAATTATGCGTACAGTGTTTCTGAGTAAAAGTCAACAAAAACAATCAACTTAAGTGACTTCATAAAAACACTGATATCAACTTAACCTGATGTCCATAAATCAGTCAGTTAAATAGTAAATCAGGAATTATTGCTTAATCATTCTGGGATGCATTTCTTGAATTTCCATTATGAAGGTGTAATCTAAGGAGATGGGTAAAATAATGCACTTATTTTTGATTAGACACTAGTAACTAGTGTGATGTGTCTAGTCCTCTCCTTGGTGCAGACTGAATTCTATCAGTCAGGTTTGTAATGTAGCTCGCCATCACGGTGCACATTGATTTTGATTGTATTAGATGGTTACAGGCAATCGGAAGGAAGCCTTCGACCTATGTTTCTTGCTAGTTGGCACTCATCAGCAAGGCGTATCTGCAACCTTGAAGCAATTTATGTCCTTCCTGAGATTCGAACCCCCGTGGCCCAGTACTGCAGTCAGAGACGTTACCACTGAGCTATTCGGGCTCGCGATTGACCTCCTGTAGGACTGTAGTGGATATATTTGATTTGAAACTAGTAACTAGTGTGATGTATCTAGTCCTCCTTTTGGTGCAGAATGCACTTATGTTAATCCATAAAGAAAATGAGAATCGATGAATAATGTTACGATACTTTGAACTTTTACTAGATATTGGACTTGTTTCTGTCTCTAAATGCAGGAATGTGTATCATTCAGAGCTCAAAAGACGAAATAAAAAGTTTCACAGGCTGTTCTGTTCCCCTAACCTAATACTTCATGTTACTTGGTTTCAAAACACTTACTGGTACATAACAGACGTTGTTCTCACTATGATCTTTATGCTCTTCAGATAGATCCGTAGACAAAAGCTTGGTATATCATCACTGACGATCAAATTGAGTTCTTTAAAGCTCCCAGCAATGCATTCAGTTCAACATTTAGTGTATCTTCATATCATGTAAAGGAACAGAATATAACATTTTTGCTTTAGTTAACTTGTAGAATTATGGTTAGATTCGTGAGTGTTACTTGTTAAAACAAATGTGGTATTTTAATGAGTTGCACGTTCGCCCTGCCTAATCATTTGTACTAGTATTATGTTCAGACCCGTAAAACATTGATTAAATATTGATTTTAAATCACCGTTGATCAGCCTCTTCAGAAAAAACATCTTTTCATATAATCCGTAGAAGATAGCCTGGTATATTAGGTTATAAATCGCGTGAAATGAGGAATAAATAAATTTATTTACACAGACTTGGCATGTTTCAAATTTAGCGGATCTTAGGAATCAACCTGCTAATGATCTATTCAGCTGACCTTTCTGATTTTTTTCATGAATGCCACATCTTTCCATAATTTAAGGTTCATTGTTTTAATATACTCAAGAAAACGCACTACTCAAATTTCTTCAAAAAATGCGCTAACATAGTCGCAAAAATGACTATATAAATTTATCATAGCCTGTTTTCTTTGCTTCTTTCCTATAAAATGAATGATATGTAAAGCAACGAAATAATAAATTAAAAGAAGTCAAGGCAGACATAGTCACTTAAGTGACCTTTAGAAATCGGGAAGCAATGTACAGATGATTCACCTTGGTTGGAGATGGTTTAGTAATACGCATTCACAGCTATATGATGTACGTGATCGACGACCTTCAGATTAGATGACAAGTGGCTTACCTTTTAGCCACTTGTTGTAAGTTCAGTGGATCGCAATCTTCAAATTCTACTGAATAATGAAATAAAACCACTCCTAATCATAATTGTCATTAGGTACTGGTTAAAACGCAGAAATATAGTTAGAATATTAAATTAATAAGGTATAGATTGGCAAGGAATATTTTTCCACGTTAGAAATAATTATCATTGAAACTGTAAGCGCTGGGAAACACAGATATTATTCATAAGGATAGGTGTTTCAGAATATGCATCAAGTATTTTTGTTTAGGCTAGTAGTTTGAAAAGAAAAAGAAAAAACTGAATGGAAATGGACTATACGCTGAATTAACATACGAGTGAGAGAAGGTTTAAAGCGACGCTAGCAAAAGAGACTGAACAAACTGCTCCTGTATTCACAGTTCAGGATTTCAATAACAATAATAATAATAATTCGCTTTATTCCTAAACAGTACTAGTCTTATAATGTATAATTATATTTCAATAATTTACACACAATGATAAGTTTTGTTATTGGTAATTTTGCTCGAAATATTACCAATAACAAAACTTATCATTGTGTGTAAATTATTGAAATATAATTATACATTATTTGATCTAATCCACAATGCTCAAACTTTTTACTGATATTAGTACTAATCTTACAGTGCGTCGGTGGCACAGTGGTTAGGACTCTCCCCGACCATGCACACGGTCTGGGGTTCGAGCCCACGCTGACGCACACCTGATATCTATGGTCGGCCTGAAAAATTTTGGCTACCGATATCGCATGCTGAAAATTCCATACCTGTACCAAAAATATGGTGGGGAATCAAGCTGTAATCAAAAATAAAAAAATGAGTGTAAAATTTTCGGCATTTGATACAGTATTGCTTCTAATTTTATCCAGTAATATCAAAAATAATTATAAAGATAATAAATATTGCAGGATTGCCAATAGTAGTTCTTATTTGGTATTAGTAGTGACGGTAAGATCATAAACAAAAAGAAAATTGTAAAATAATGATGATTATGATATTAGTTAATATTGTCATTCACTTACATCGATATATATATATATATATATATATATATATATATATATGTACAAAATCGCAAATAATAATAAAAAGGTTAGCAGATAAGATGGTCAGTTAATTGAGGTATAATCACTGTAAGTTACAAAGAGGAGATAATAAAAGGGCCAATTATTCAGCAAACAACAAAGTAATTCATAAGTTTCACGCTTTACATTGTCCCTATCCCATAAAACACGGGTTAAATATGGTATCGTTGAGTTCCTATGCTTGGTAGTACTGTAACGACAGAAGACAAGGGCCAGGCAACAGATCGTTTATAGAGAAAATCAACAGATATTTATATATTTTTATATACATTATTATTCGTTATTATAAGCAGAGAAACAGCCTCTCCAGATTGGTTGTTTTGTCACTGACACTTATTCTGCCATCTCTTTGTAGCCATTTCTCTGAAGGTCAGACCATATATCTGTGAATCGTATCCGCCGACGCAAAGTCTTTTTTTTCTCATGACCAAAATGTGGGAAGTAAACATTGATGTAAATTGCTGTCTACCACTTTTGGCTAGCAGACAGCTCTCACCACAGTACGAGCATATAACCTTTTGTACTGACTTCTTCTTGAGATACAAGGGGAGAGTTGAGAATAGAGGGGATGTTCAGAGACAGACAATATGGATTCAGCCTGTTCATTTCTCGCATGAGTTAAGATGTATATCAACTGACATAGTGACAAGCTGACTAAGTGGCGCGTCCCCTGCTCTTCTGAAAACTTTTAACACTTCTCAAGGTAACGTAGGCCTTTTCCAGAAGCCCAGAAAAGACTAAGGGGGAGCAGTATAGCACAGTAGGTAAGATACAAGGGTTAACAAATTGTAAATGCAGAGGTTGAGTGATTCCAGATGGTTTTAGCTTCTTAATGTAATAGCTTAGATGTAACATTTTCTTGTAAATTGATGAAAGAGAAGTTAACAGTCTGGTATTTCCATGGATTTGACGTAAGTCCATTTAGCCTAGGCCACTGACTGATGTCCAACAGAAAGCAAGTATGTTAGCAACAGTACGACTGGGACTTGATAGAAAGTGAGACGGTGAGATCATCAGCGCATTTGACAAAGCATATCTCGTTAGAAAGAGGTAAGTTATGTAGGAAGAAAGAAAAAAGAAAAGGGGAGAGAACAGCACACTGAGGAACTCAGCTTCAGTAAGCAAGATAGAAGAGGTTTCATCCTTATATACGATATACTGCATTTCATTTGAGAAATAAGAATGTAACCAGTTAACTACCGAGGACTCGGTTTGCGTAAGGGAAGGCTTATTTAAGAAAAGCCACCAAGGTACTGAGTCAAAAGCAGATGTGTAGTCGAGGAAGGTACAACGTACATATTTGGCCCCTTTGCCCAAGGAGGAAGCAATGCTATGATGTAATACATCGGCAGAATCTAAAGTACTTCTGCCCTGCTTATAAGCAAACTGATTGGGATCATTAAAATTTTTAAACAGGGTACAAGGTGGAGTAAGAGCAATTTCTCATTTAACTTCAAAGAAGCAGAGGTAACTGCAATAGGTCTAAACTGAAATTAGTATCAGAACCTGATGTGGTTACAGGGATTATTTAAGTGTCTTTCCACAAAGAAGGTACAACATTACTTGAGAACAAAGTATTGATTATGATTGCAAGTGGGTAACATAAAATATCAGTGCATCTCCAGAGGACGACAGCAGCTACACCATCAAGACCAAACACCCAAGAACATTAAAAGTGTTAAAACCATGAAAGTCTTTGACCTTGGTTATTTGTTATACTGAAGGCAAAATCATCTTTAGGAGAGCATATGAAAGATTTTTTGAGAACATTTGCATCAAAAGTGAGGACGATAGTACGTTGCACACCACGGCCTGTAATTTCACTGGAAAGTCTCCACATGTTACCGGGAGTTTTACAAGATAAGAGT